ATGGGAAAATCTTGCAATGAAAGAAAGAAAAGAGAAACAAACCTTGCCGATAGAAGAGTATCCAAACTCATCCACAAGCGCCGGCACCACTCTCTCGCGATAGAGCTGCTTGGACTTGAAAATCCTCTGGCCTGGAGCGTCGACGCCGGCGCCAGCGATGAGGCCGCGATCCTTGGCATCCGCCGCCGCCACTGAGGCCATATGGCTGGCGGCCTCAGCGTCCACCCTGAATGTCACCGATCCCGAGTGCCGGACGAGGAGCAACCTCGCCGCCATTGCGGCGCCAGCGGCAGCGCCCTGGCGGCGGCATCCCCACAGCACAGCGGCCGCCATGGACGATCGATCGATATCGATCAAAACCCTTCTTCCCACATTCTAGGGTTTATGCATTTGGACCAAAGAGCTAGGCAATGTGTTGCTTGCGATCGATCGGCAGCGGGAATCCTCCTTCTTGCGCTTGTCTCTTCCGAAATATCGATGCTTGAGGCACTTTTCGTGCGTGTTCTCGCAGATCGCCACCGCGCGGCGGAGCATTCACTGGGTAGGAGCCATCGCTCGAGCGTAGAAATCTCTCTCCGCTTAAACCCTAAGCCTCGGTAGCCATCGGTTAGATCCATAACTCTTTCTTTCCCTGTTTCTTCGGTCGATTGCGCAGGCATTGCAAAGATCTTTAAAGCTAGAACGATAACTACATTGCTTGCTCAACTAGACAATCTCGGCTCCGGATAGAGGTATCATCATACCTTGGAAATTTTCAGGTCCTGAGCGTGCAAGTGGATTCGGGAATAGGAGCAAACAGAAGCCTTCGATTCCATCGGACTCAATCTACTGTTGACAAGGTAGATCCATACTCCTTTACAAACTAGTTGAATTTCTCCTCCATTTCCATCCTCTTCTCTTCATTTTTTTCCATCTGCTGGATGATGCTCATTCCTAGATCAAGGCATGCTTGGACCAGTGTCCGATCTCTGCCACTCTCGCATCTGGTGGCCGAGCTCCACGAGCACACTAAACAGCCAAGAACTCTTTGCAAGCGCTAGCGGATTCTCCTTCAGCGGTTTTGTAATGGGCGCCTGGGAGGGTACAAGGATGTGGCATGGTGACAACGATGGCATTATAATAGCCCGAGCGATGCACACTCCGTGCGTGGCTCACACCTTCGAACGCTTGCGTGCTGTTTTCCATAGCGTGAATGACGACGTGGAGATAATGTTTGGAATTTTGGCACTGGAAGCCAGCGGCATTCGGTCGAAGATCCTCTGGAGTTGATTGTTGCGTGAAAACGAGACGAGCATCGTGTTCCAAGCGACGAGATCCATCCCGGGCAGGCATAAAACTTAGTGTTCGTTCAGCAGAGTTGATATGCCACGTTGGAGATTTGGAGATGAGTGCTTGGATGATGCCGCTTGAGATCAATGCAAAGTATGGAATCCACTCTATAGCATTGCGCTGCTCCACTCTCACCCCATTTCCCCTTGAAAATAGCGACTTCCAAAGAAAAAAAAAGCGATTCATTTCTAGCTTCCCGATTTCCTATACTCCGATTCTAGTGTGTCGACACCGATAACAAGGGATCGGACAGCTCTGGCGCCTAGCTTCCCATCAAAACGATTGCTAACGAAACATTTTTGTTGGATGGTGCTTGTGCAAGTGGAAAGGAGTTCAATGGAGCGCGTTGGGAGACAGGACTTCCAAAGGCGATGGGAATGAGCTATCACCTTATGGCGAGGACAAAATACAAGGTCATGGCTTGGAGTTTGCTGCCCCCAATGGTATTCATTTTTCGCCAAGATGGATCTCCTGACTGGCTCCTACTGCTCTTCCTGGTGAGTATTTACCTGTAAGCTTTGTTTTCACAAATTTATTTGCGTAAACAACAATATCTACTCTAACAACGTCGGCAATAAGAAAAGGTTTGGAGGAAAACAGTGATAGATATTTCCAGAATCGCTTGTTGGTTTTGTTGTTTTTCCCAAGTTGTGAGTTTCCGGAATTGATGTCGAGAAATGCTAGACCTTGTGCCATTCTTCTGCCAGAGACCTATGATCAAAAGTTGCAAGCTTTAAGAGCTAGAGAAGAAGAGATTTTACTATCTCCCTGTTCAAGCTCTTGCCAGAGTCCTATGGTGCTCCTCATATCCCCATTCTCCGGCCTAGTGGTAAGTTTTTCTTCCAATGCTAATGCCAAAGATGAGATTTTTCTTGCTTAGATCTTCATGAGATTGTGTTGTTGCTACTCATTTATTTGTTTTTGGCTTATTGGAACTAGACACCATTTTTCCTTCTGAGCTGGATGCTGGCATCCTTGTAATGCTCCTCGCTGATCCCAGTCCTTGCTGATCCTGGAAGTTGATCATGTAAACCCAGCCATGCTGCTTGTTGTATCTCTGTGCCATGGCACTCATACCATCATCATTCTCCATTGCAGGCATAAATGTTAACTTTTCAAAGTATAGTGGAACTTGGATCTCGAGCTCATTGAGCAGTGCAAGCCCATCCTTTTGATACTTTCATTCGATGGCATTTGTATGCTATTAATAGGCTCATATAATGTGGTAAGTTGGAATTTCATATGATGTGGCAAATGAATTTTTTTTGGTGTTGAGAATTTCTATATTAGGCATAAAAAATGCATGCAAACATAATTTTGGTGTTCTGTTTAAAGTGTTTTAACACTATTCATAAAACACACATTTTTTAAAAAAGAAGATTGAACCCAGGACCTTTATATATTCTTTGATAATATTTTAATGTTTTTTTTGTTTTTATTTTCATGCATAGCAAACATTGTATGGCTTAATCACCACAGCTGTTGTCAACAAGTTACAAAGTAAATAAAGACAAAGCACAAAATGAATTATACTACTATAAAATTAACCACGCGCTTTAGTTTTTATACCTTGTAAGGAGCTAGCTTTGTTCAGATTCTTAGACATGATCGGTAGGCTCTTCCTCATTTTGTTTCTGTTTTCCAACCACAATCCTATTGGAGCGGATCCCGAGTTTCTAGCGAGACAACATCCATGGAGGTTTGAATCTGGAGATTTTCATGTGATCTCTATGGCAATTCTGAAGCGCATCCGGTCGCTCTCAATGGAGAAGCATTACACCTATGGAAGAAGTTTCACTTCCACATTCATGGCTACATCAGAGTTCAAGGTGAGTGTCAGGCTGTGGCTGTTTAGTGTGCAGAGGAACGATGGAATGTGCTATGTCACACCAGATCATTTACATGTAATAGACTCCCAGGCCCTAGTGAATGCGTTCTTGGGTCTCTACAATTCTGTGGCTTCAAAGGAGATTGAGAGCATGGGTTATGGCCGAATTCTCTGCGTGTGGAAGATTTTTGCCATTGACTATGTATCTTGGTATGGAAAGCCAGAGTATGGATTAACAGAGCAAGAAAATCAAGATGAGCCAGCGTTTGATCATTCTCGTGATTTTAACCGCACCCTCTTTGACATTACCACCGATCCCGACTGGGAGAACTGTTGGCCTTTTCGATCCAACATGATCGGAGGAGCTGAAGCTGCTTTGGGCTCATACATTGTCAGGGTTGGCACGCTGGTATCTCCCAATGGTAGATACAAGGTAATCATGCAGCAAGATTGTAACTTTGTTCTCTATGAAGCATATCTAGAAAACGTGAATGCGGTGGTGTGGGAAAGCGATACTTTTAGGAAGGCTAAGGGTTGCTACATCAACCTCCAAATGGATGGAAATCTAGTGCTTGTTGATTCTTCTGGAAAACAGGTTTTATTTGCCTCTAATAGATATTGCCCAAACCAGCCAAATTGTGTGGTTACTGCTGGCCTCTCTGTCACAGATAATGGCTACATTGTCATCTGGCAGACTGACACTCAAACTGAGTTATGGCGAGAACCCAAGTAGTGGTCGATCTAAAATATGTTGCATTCACTCAGAGTATCTAGAAGAATTCTTGGGCATGATCTTGTCAAAACTTCTGGTGAAAGATGTGATTCGAGGAAGAGCCAGATAGGATTTAGCTGTTGGCATAGAAGAGGAACATAAGGGACTGGAGACCATCGACGCAAGTGCGCCAGCGCCAGAGCCAAAAGCTCTTCCTTCTTTCAGTTCTTAACATGGGGTCACACAGGACCCAAATAAATAGAATGCAATTGCATTGCATCTTGGGTGGTGGGAGGTTGGTACAATTGTGTTATTTAAACCTGGTAAGATAACAACATATATTAAAAATATTTGAAGTAAATGAATAGTTATTGTTACTATTACTAATAAAAGGAATAAAATTGGTATTGTGTATCATAATAAAATATTATATGACCTAAGTATTTTACTAACATTCAATAATTTAATATATTTGTGAATCTTAATTAACGTAAAATAATGAATTTTTTAAAGAGGTTAATTTTTTACATAAAATAAGAATAATTTGCTACACCTTGCATGTAACAATGTTTGGTTTGCTTAATAATAGTGTTATTCCTACTTATTAATCCAATTGATCAAATAAAAGTTTATAATTATAAGCATGTTTATAATTTATAAACACAAAATTAATATTATTGCATAATTAAATGGTAGAATAAAAAGAAATATACTAAAAAGTGTTTAAGCAAGTTTATAAATTATAAATACAAGATTAATTTAAATGAATAATAACCGCCAGATGGTAAAATATCCTAGAATATTCAAGTATATTTTAAGTATATCTACTACCATCAGGTTTGCTTAAGCAAATCAAAAAATGATAAATTTACTTATTTTATTTAGTTGACAATTAATTTATAGGTTTATATAGCTTTTGAATTAGTTTGCATTATATTAGAATATTCTATTATAGTTTAACTTGATAATAATATTGATCACCACAACAATGTTTTACATTTTTAAAAGATATTATGCATGATAGTTTTTTTGAAGTGATACAATGGTATGGTGTGTTTTTCTATCTGGAAGATTAGTTGTAAAGAGAACAAGCTTTTGCTTCAGGTGAAAATCCTGAACTCCACACGACTGGCTACACGGAGAAGTCCCATCATCTGAATTGTCACAGGGGACGAATATAATGGAGAGCCTATGATGTCTCCCTAGCATTATGACATTACAATGGAAGAACCCTTCTTTTTGTGCTTCACGTGGGTTCTCGGGAGGATCGAGTACAGCGTCTCGATCGCTGGGGCTTCCCATTCGGATCGGCGGTAAGGCTAGGGTCTCTGAGATGGAGCGTGAGATTCCCGCGGCAGTGGCGGCGGGGGAGCCAGCGCTAGGGATGCACACACTGCCTATGGCGGCTGCCCTGGCGGCGTCTCCAGCGGCGGAGCTGGCGTGCAATCTCCTCGACAGGCCAAACCGCAAGGAGGTGAAGCTCTTCTATTGCAGCGAGTACGAGGATTTGGCACGGAGGATCGCCGCCGAGACGGATTCCATCGAGCTCAAATCCATCCGCTGGAAGTAAGTGGATTTCTTTCTTTGTTCTTGGACCGATCGATGGATGGTTGTCTCTTTTTTCTTTCAGCACATTCGAGGATGGCTTTCCAAACTTGTTTGTGCCAAATGCTCATGGGATCCGTGGCCAGCACGTTGCATTCCTCGCGTCTTTCAGCTCTCCTGCCGTGATCTTTGAGCAGCTCTCGGTGATCTACGCTCTTCCCAGGATGTTCATCGCCTCCTTCACGGTGGTGGTGCCGTTCTTCCCGACTGGAACGTCGGAGCGCATGGAAGACGAGGGTGACATTGCCACGGCCTTCACTCTCGCTCGGATCCTCTCCAACATTCCAATCTCGAGGGGTGGCCCGACAAGTCTCGTCATCTTTGACATCCACGCACTCCAGGTTTGCTTTCTCTTTTCCTTTCGATCTTTCTCCTAGCCTCGCTCACCCCGACTTGTAAAACAGGAGAGGTTCTACTTTGGTGACAGCGTTCTTCCCTGCTTCGAGAGTGGAATCCCGCTGCTCAAGCACCGCCTACACCAGCTTCCGGATTCCACAAATGTGAGACTTAGTCGAGAGCTTGCAACGATGTAAAAAATCTCTTGCAGGTGACTATAGCTTTCCCCGACGAGGGAGCTTGGAAGCGCTTCAACAAGCAATTCGAGCACTTTCCCACGGTAAAGTTCGTGAGTTCGTCGAGTGATCTCTAACTGTGTTTCGATGGTGGATCACAGATAATCTGTACGAAAGTTAGAGATGGAAACAAAAGGATCGTTCGCTTGAAGGAAGGCGAGGCCGCTGGAAGGCACGTCGTCATTGTGGATGATTTGGTGCGCTCTGGAGGCACTCTCAAGGAATGCCAGGTTCGTGCAATGTAAGATTTCTTCATCGTTTTCTTAGTCAGTATTTTTCGTCTTTCAGAAAGTACTACAAGCGAATGGAGCCACGAAAGTGAGTGCTTACGCCACGCACGGCGTCTTCCCTCAGCAAACTTGGGAGCGATTTCTTCACGCGGCAGGAGGTACGTAGAGACTCCATTCTTCTCTTCGTTGACACTACAACATTTCAGAGAGCGAGAAAGAATTTTCGCACTTCTGGATCACAGACTCCTGCCCCGAGACCGTCAAGGAGGTAATTGGCAAACCACCCTTCGAAGTTCTCACGCTGGCTGGTTCCATCGCTGCGGCACTCCACATATAAGTGCTCATTCTTCCATCTCCAATTTTCTTACTCTTCCTTTGCTTGAGAGTTCATCCGGTTTTCTCTTCCACCACCAATCTTCTTACTCTTTCTTTGCTTGCAAAACGCAGGATTTTTTTTGCTCTTCGTTTAGCTAAGTTCATTGAGGATTTGCTTGAGAAGTAAATGAAAACAGGCTGATTTTTCCGAATCTACTGATTTTTCTTTTTTGTTTTCTTACAAGCTGTGAAGATTTAGATCAGATTGAGTTTTCCAGATGGCTGAAAGAAATAGATGACGATCTTCAAAACCTCCAAAACACAAGGCGATCAGATTGAGTTTTCCAGATGGCTGAAAGAACTAGAAGACGATCCACAAACTAGAAGCGCATTTTTCCCCAGCAAGACGCCCAAGAACACCATAACACACGCCGCAAAGCCGAGGAGTGGAAGAACAAACGTTAGCACTGCTTGTTTTGTCTCGTGAATGTTTTTAACTGTTACTTGTGGAGGGGGCTGTCCATGAGCCCTGAAAACGCTGCTCCCAGGAATCGAACTCACATTTCCATCTGGCAGGCTTCGATGCCACGGTGGCGGTCCAACGTCAGCACTGCTACAGTTCGCGCAAACGCACGGGAACAAGCCCTCGACGATGGAATCGACGGGAGGAGAAGATGGAGCTGCCGAGGAAGAGGATAAATTGAGAATGGGACACAGGCATTGCGCGCAAAATAGATCAGGCGTGTGATCGTGGTCAAAGAGTGCCGCGATGCGATCCAGAGTTAGATTGCTCGAGATCCGCAAGAATGCCGATTGAGCGCGCCCCGCCTCCATTCGATCCTTACACATGCACCACGAGGAGTGATTCCAGGGCCCCGGCCGGATCCAGCAGCTGCCATGGAGTGGAGAATCTCTAGGGCTTAGCGACGCTGGAGCGCCTGCTAGAGGGGATGGAGCCGGCGATGGAGCTGAGGATTGCTGCGATGGCGACGATGACGCGTTGTTGGAGGAGATTTCCGGGAGGCAGTGGCAGATTTGATTGTGGCGGAGCGGTAATCTCTGCGTGGAGCACAGAGAATTGCTAGAATCTGGAGTGGCGATCGCGAGAACGCTGCGAGCAAAGAGGAGGCATCCGAGATGGAAGAGGAGGAGATCCATAGCCTGGTATCGAGTGACATTGATCGGTGAGGAAGAAAGGAGGAGAAATTCGCGACAAACGAGGACAGCCGCGGATAAAAAGAAGCCACTCGCTTGCCAGAGCTTTCCTAAATTTGCTCGCGCTGCTTGAAAGAGCATATGCCTCTCAACGGTAGAGAATATGCCAGCTAAGCTCTAGGGCACAGTCTCTGGTGGAGGTAGGGCGATGGCGATGGCGATGACGGCTCCCCAGGTGGAGAATGCGCCCATTCTCGACTTCATCAACAACGTCTTCCCGAACGGTAGGCAATGGCAATGCCGCTCGCTGCATAGATCGATCACTTGAGCTCTTGATTGAGCTGCAGAGGCGTCGCTGATCGCTGTGGAGCCGCTCATCCAGAAGCTGAGGAACAAAATTCGTCGCGGCGATGCCGAAATCCTTGCTGCTGTCCGGCAACAGGTTCGTTCTAGATCCAGTGGCTTGTCCTCGGATCTGAGTAATATCCACACAGAGCTCCTCAGGAACTAAAGCTAAAGAAGATCTTGCCGATGCCATGCGTGCTATCGAGGTATTTCTTCTGTCACTTCAGTCAGGAGCGAATTGTTTTGTTGATTTGCCAGGAATTGGCAAACAAAATCCGGGAGATCAAGTCCAAAGCGGAACAAAGCGAGGTGATGGTTCAAGAGCTATGCCGTGATATAAAGAAGCTCGATTTTGCAAAGAAGCACATCACAACAACTATCACTGCTCTACATCGTTTGTCAATGCTTGGTAAATTTTATCGTTTTTCAATGGTTTTGGTTATCTTACGGTTTTGTTTTCCGTTCTTCGCAGTCTCGGCCGTGGAGCAACTTCAGGGAATGGCATCTAAGCGACAGTACAAAGAAGCCGCCGGACAGTTAGAGGTTTGTAATTATCAAGACGAAGTATTGAGCTGTGTGACCTTTTCTTCGCTAGGCTGTGAACCAGCTTTGTGGTCATTTTGAGGCATACAAGGATGTTCCTAAGATCAATGAGCTCAGAGGTACCTACAAGACCATTAAAGAGACTCTAAAGGCTCACGTTTTTAACGATTTTTCAAGGTGTGAAGTGATATGGCTTTTTTTTTCAATTCAATTTTATGTTTAACATCTTTTGTATTTGTTTCGCAGCTTAGGCACTGCTGGTTTGAAAGAAGATGGAAACCTCATGCAACAGCTAGCCGATGCTTGCTTCGTTGTTGATGCTTTGGAGCGGACTGTCCGCGAGGAGCTCATCGTCAATATTTGCAGTAAAGAACTGACTGCCTATCAGCAAATTTTCCAAGGCACAGGTAAAACTTTCCAGAACAGGCATGCTGATTATGATTCTACATTCTGTAGAGGTTGCAAAACTTGATAAGGTGGAACGCCGCTATGCTTGGATAAAACGACAGCTCCGTGCAAACGAAGATATCTGGCAGATCTTTCCTGCGCACTGGCGCGTCGCCTTTCTGCTTTGTATGCAGTTTTGTAAAGTAACTAGGTAAGGCAGGATTTCATATGTTCGGTCTTGATGAACTCGGTCTCTGTATCCAGGGCACAATTACTAGAGATTTTGGATGGTTTGAAGGAACAACCAGATGTTCAAACTCTCCTTCAGGTAAAATGATATTGCAATAGCGACGGACACTTCATTTTGGCTGTAAAATAGGCACTGCAAAGGACCTTGGAGTTTGAGGAGGAGCTTGCTGAGCGCTTTGGAATGGGGAGCGACAAGGCTGAGGACCAGGATGAAGGTGAAGGTGATGAGCAGAGTGCTTCCGCTTTGCGGAGAAAATATGAGAAGCAACTGGCCGTAAAAGGTGGTCGATCAAGCCAAGTTTACCCCGTAAGTATCAAGTTTCATGTTGGAGCGAAGTGGTCTAAATCATTTGACAGGATGGCGAAGGAACAGAAAAAGAAAAAAGACCTGAATATTTGTCAGCGGTATGTAGCGAGTTGATTATCTTTAAGCACTCAAGTTTCTTTGTTACAGACAGCAGCTAATTTCAGCTTTCGTGGCATCATATCGTCATGCTTCGAGTCTCACCTAGGTCCTTATGTTGAATTAGAAGAAAAGAATCTGCTCGAGACTTTGGAAAAACTTGTGATGGTAAGTATCTATTTTTACTTCCTCGGCAGCTCGGAATTGACTCATACCTGTGTAGGAGGAGAGCTGGGAGGCTGAAGAAGGTAGTCAAACTAACATTCTTACAAGCAGCACACAGGTCTGAAGGTTTTTTACATAGCTGTCCGGATATACTTAAGAAAACTTTTCTACAGGTTTTTCTCGTGATCAAGAAAAGTTTGAAACGCTGTGTAGCTCTTACAAAAAATCAAACGCTCTTCAGCTTATATAAGGTATCTCGATTAAAGCACTCTATCAGAAACTGAACGCCTTGGCAGGTCTTTCAACGAGTACTCAGGGCGTATGCTGGTAAATTGATTGGACGACTACCAAAGGTTGGAGCTGGCGCGGGACTTGTTGCCGTAGCGACAGGCATGGAAAGTCATTTACGGGTACACTATCTAACTCGTTTCTATTTTGATAATAATCAAGCCTTTCCAGTTTTACAGGTTTCGGACAAAGACGAAAGGGTCATATGCTATATTGTCAACACTGCAGAATATTGCCATGAAACTGTGAGTACTTAAAATCTTTAAAACTTGTAGTCACGTTTTGTCTCTTGAATCAGGCTGGGCAATTAGGAGAAAACATTTCCAGAGTGATTGATTCTCAGTTCGCGGAAAGCATCGACTTGTCGGAAGAACAGGTAACTTTCCATTTGTGTTGGATTTCTTACGAGCTTGGCTATGAAGGATGAATTCTCCGGCGTGATTACCAAAGCGCTTTCATCCCTTGTGATGGGACTGGAAACGCGATTGGAAAACGAGCTGGCAGCTATGACAAGAGTGCCATGGGGGACGATTGAAGGTGTTGGCGATCAATCCGAGTAAGAGTATATCATCCTTAAAAACAGACTCGAGCTTTAATATTTTTGTTACAGATATGTTAATGGAATCAGCTCGATTCTGTCTAGTAGCATTCCAGTTATATCTGGTCTATTGTCTCCGTTGTACTTCCAGTTTTTTCTAGACAAGGTATGGTACTTCATTACCCATAGTACTTGTGATCTTATATACCTGTGTGGATATGACAGTTAGCAGCGTCCTTCGCTCCTCGATTTTATATGAATATATACAAATGCAAACGCATCACAGAAACTGGGGCTCAGCAGGTATGTTTTCTTTTACCAAACTCTCGTGCTAACTTTGTTTCTCTTTTAGATGCTACTCGATACACAAGCGGTAAAAACAATTTTACTTGAAGTCCCTGCATTGGGAGGCCAGACAGCTGCTCCGGCAAGCTACACCAAGTATGTCACTCGTGAAATCGGCAAGGCGGAGGCTCTCTTGAAGGTAAGTAGCCAGGCGCAAAATTTCTTCTTCCGACTGATCAATGACCACTTCTCGGGTGCCAGGTCATTTTGTCACCGATTGAATCCATCGCTGACACTTACCATGCTCTACTGCCTGAAGGCTCTGGTGCCGACTTCCAGCGTCTACTAGATCTCAAGGTTTGTGATGCTCTTTCTGTTATAGAGCTACATTCTCACGTACTCTTTCGAAATCCAGGGACTGAAGAAAAGTGACCAACAGCCACTGCTGGATTACTTCACCAAGCGTGGGATGGGAACTTTGCTGCCAGTTAGTCCGGCGTCGGGACCTTCATCGCCACTCACTCCAAGCGCTGCGAGCAGAGAAGCGATGATGGCTCGAGCAGCAGCGCTCGGACGAGGAGCGATGGCTCAATCCGCGGCAGCAGCGGCCGCAGTCTCCAGCACTGGACTGAGACGATTCTTCGCGCTGGCCGAGTCCGCGAAAGAAGGAGCTGCCAAACGAGAAGGAGCGTTTAGAAAGCTCTTCAACTCGTGAGACTAGACTGTAACCTTTCAAAGCGAATTTAACGGTGACGATGTACGTAACGGGTTTTGGACACCGACGGCTATCATGCAGCCACGTGGACGGTGGATGTTGCTTTAGAGCGCAACGTCTTTTTTTTATTAGGGCATGGCTATGACGGAGGAGGAGGAGCAGCGCAGCCGGAGGAGTCTCTTCAGCAGCGCCGAGGTAGCGTCCAATCCTTCTCCTGGTTCTCGCGATTCTACTCTCGCTCGTCTTGCCTCGCAGAAGCAATCTCAATCGCAGTCCGAGTCCTTGTTGGGGAAGCGGCCCGCGCCGATCTCTTCTCCGGCGCCGTGCTCCAAGCGCCAGCAAAAATCTCCCGTTCCCTATCGCTGCAGAGATCTTCCGCGACGACCCAGCGACGCTCCCCGGGCAACGAATGCCAAGCGCCCCGCCGCCACCACTTCCACCACTTCGAGAAAGCTCACGGATATCTATGGCGATCCGGCTTCCATTTTCACTTCTTCTATCTCTTCGCCTTCTTCCTCCGCTGCCGTGCTTTCACAGGAAACAAGAGAAGATCACGAGGAGGAGGATCTCGATGCTGTGGCTGCGTCGCTGGAGGAATTCGTGAGGGAGAGGAGGGTAGAGCTGCGTGGCGAAGAAGAACAAGGGGGGGAGCTAGTGCTGCTACATCACGAAGAGCGACTAGAGTTTCACGAAGAACACCACGAACAAGGTGAAGAACCGGGCTCTCCGCGAACTCCACCGGCGAGCTCCTCCACTCCCGCCGCTCCAGTCACTCCCATGGCGCCGCTAAAGCGCGGGAGAGCTATGGTGGCAAGACCACGTCCCCCTCCCAGCGCCGTCCACAGAAGGCTAAACTTTGACCATTGATTATACGTCGAAAAATCTAAGAGTCATTATAATCGATGTTTGTGAGCATTAGTCCTCTGTGAATATCAATCTAACATCTTTCTTTCCATCCTCATCAAAGCAAATCAAAGATTGTTCTAAGCAGTAAGAGCCACATTGAGAGAATTTGGAGGCAATGGAACCTCTTCCCAGCTCACAATCCTCTTCTCCATGTCCAAAGTACCCTCAAACACAATCGATTTGATGGGGCTGTAGTAGATCTCCACCAGCGCTTTGCTACCACGGACGCTAAACCCTCCAACCTCGCACACCAGGTCCGCCAGGATCTCCATCAAACTGGTACAAACTCCCGCGCAAGTAAACCTCCTGGTCACCTCGTCCGTCACGAAATCATACTCCTCGATCGCCCACAGCTCGATATCGAAGCAAAACCTGGTCGAGACATCGAACTGGCCGACGTCCTCCTTGAGCCAAGTGCCCAGATTCACGCTCGCCCAAAACTCCCCCGACACGTCGAGCAGATCATCCGGGTCGTCGTCCATCTCGCTCACCATCAGGGGCCGGCCATTGAAGAGGAAGAAGTTGTAACGCTCCTGGACTTGCAAGCCTCGCGTGGTGAGAAGCTCCCAAGTATCGGTGGCAATGTCGTAGACCTTGCTGGATCCCCGGGACTCCGGAACCACGAAGATCTTGCCATTGAAGCCCGCGAACCAAACATACTCCTCGCCCATCAAGCCCGGCATGCTGGAAACGCTCCGCCATGCCGCCGGTTCTTCATGGCCGAGAGCGGCGAGATCAAAAACGTGAACTTGGTTGTCTCGCGAGAGCAAGAACACTCTCTTCATGTGGTATACCATCACGCTATCCGGTTGTGGAGGCTTTGGGAGTAGCCTCCACTCGGTGCCCCGCTTGGATTGATAGTAAACCTTGTCAACCTTTTTGCTCTCGCTGAAAGAGTGGCACACTATACCTGTGGCGTCGACTCCATCGCCAAGGTCAGCGTCATTGACCTCGCCGTTGACGCTGACTTGACCGGGGACTAGGTTGACGTACTCGACATCTTCTTCTTCCTGCCACAAAGCCATGTATGGTTGACTTAGGGCTGAAGAAAGTTGACTTAGTGATTGACTTATATGCTTGAGAGGTTTCGTGTTCGATTCTGGGAATGGAGGTCAGGCGTTCGATTCCCTTGTGGGGCCGGGGGAATATTCACATTCTCAATCAGACCGTTGAGCCGTTTAAACATCTGGCCGTTTGATCTCCATGCTGCAAAACCCTAAAGAATCGGTGTGGGGGAATTTTTTCGATCTTCGGTCTCTCGCTCGCTCGCTTGCTCGCGCTTGGATCGGGAGCTGAGAATCGCGATGGCGGATGTGGAGAATCTCAATTGCGGCGATGTTCCGCGGCGCAAGAAGGGGTCGCCGGTGGGATGGTTCCCCAGGGGCAAGAAGGAGTCCTATCTGGAGCGCAAGATTCGGCTGCTTCACCAGGTATTTGCTTTGATCGATGCTTTCATGGGCCGGTCGCGAGACGACTCGAGTTCGATGTGATTCCAGGAAGCGCAAGGGATGACAACCTCCCTCGATGAGACTCTACTAGGGAGCCGCCATCTCTCACGCATCGAGAAGGAGAAGCGATCGGCAGTAGCGGCTGCCCAGGAGGCTACCGAGACCCGGAAGAGCGCCCTCGTGGAAGCGTCGTGGTGCCGCATTCTCAAAGCTGCCCGGTATGTGAATTAGTTCGTTCTTCTAGCTGCTTGTCAGCCAGGAATTTCCTTTCTTTCTCGAGTTCTTCCTCGTTCTTCGTTTTCATACAGCATTTTTCTCTAGAAAGCTTCTCTCTTTTCTCTTGTTTGAAGGTTGCTCGTTAGACGTATACCAGCATTCATTTAGAAACTCTTTCAGTGTTCATAGCTTCGGAACTTTGTGAGCGTGACCACCAATTGTTTGTTCTTTTGTGAGCAGTCTACCATTCATGTCGGCCGCACTGGAGCTTCAAAAGGCCGAGAAGAAAGCTGCCGAGGCCTTCAACAAGGCTGCTTTTCTGGGCGTTGTGCTGAGAACGAACAGCCAGAATCTGAGAGGTGAGGCGCCAGAGGCAAATGCCGGGACACCGTCGTCCAGGCACAAAGTCACAGCGTCCCTTGACACCGCTTTCGAGGTTGACGAGGAAGTAGCAGCCGCGCTAAAGTCCGCCCTTGAGCAGATCGAGAGAACTTCCGAGCCTGCGACAGGTAAACGTCATCCATCTCTTCGATCTACATATCTCACTTTCTCTTATCAGAAGCCGGTGATCATTCTCTCGAGGCTGGTGACACCGACCATCTCAAAGACTCGGTTCGAGCTGATAGTAACGACGAGACGACGGCCAGTCCTCTAACATGCCTCATGCTCGACCGGGTGAGGAGTCTACAGCCGGAACAGCGTGCTTCTCTAGCCTCCATGGTCGCGAGCCGTGGCCTCAATGCACTCCTCAAGGAAGAGAGCTACGAGCAGGAACTTAACGCGAAGAATGGCAAGGCCGGGCTGGGCGATGTGCTGGTCAAGCATGTCTCGCGTCTGGAAGCCGAGAAGGCAGCTGCGGCGACGATGGTTGCAGCCAGACAGGATGAAGCAGAGACCAGAGAGCCGCTAGCGGAGATGTCCAACGCCGCGGAGCTAGAGCCCGTGAAGAAGGCGTCGAGGCTGGAGATGGAGAAGCAATCGTTCGCAGCTCCAAGGCCTGGTAGCAGCAGCAGCAGCTCGCAGAGGCGGAAGCAAAGGGAGCAAGAGTCGGCCAGTTCCTGGGGTGGCCTCGATTTCGGGAGCTCTTTGAAACGCCATATATCCAAGCTCGAAGCCGAACAGGTGAGTGATCAACTGGTCTTTGTAAAGGTTTTTCTCATTTCTATGGTTTTGGGCCAGGCTGCTTGGCGGCGCGCGGCTGAGGATGCAAGGAACAAATAAAAAACGGAAGCGAAGTTTAAGCTGCCGAGAAAATGTTCTCTTCCCGCAAGTTAGGAGGAAGAACTGCCCACAAGATTCCAAGGCTCGAAACATGACTGTTTGTAAAACTCGCTGACAAAACTTCCACTTAACTGGACAATAGTTACGGGGTAAAGTTGGTAAAGATAGGCATATGCTGTTTTGCCAGCTCATTCCGAAGTTGTGGGCCAGGTCTAAATTTATTAGTGGCCACGATCAATAACACAGGTGTCCGCCTTGATTTCTGAGAAAAAGAATTATAAAAAGTCCGTGATATTATAGAAAACAAATTCGTTTTCTCCTTTTCTCTTTCAGTCTGAGATCTTCCTCTTTGTTCTGTAGCTCCATCATTTTGTTCCATCCAATCGATGATGTGTGAGATTTGGGCAAGGCTTTTGGTGATAAGGAATGAAGAATAGGAGTGTCTATCTAGCAGATTATGGGGAGGGTTAAGCTTGAGATTAAAAAGATTGAGAATGCTACAAACAGGCAGGTGACTTATTCCAAAAGGCGCACTGGCCTTGTCAAGAAGGCTTATGAATTATCAACATTATGTGATATTGATATTGCACTCATTATGTTCTCCCCCTCTGGAAAACTCACACAATATGCCACAGATATGAGGTATTAATTTGTCTTTTTATTAATTAGCTCTGTATTTACATGAAGTTTCAGGGTGGAGGATGTGATTCTTCGATATGCTAATGTATCTGAAGCTGAGAGGAGCAAAAGGTATAAGATTTTGATTTGATTTTATTTTTTAAGAGGCTTTAATTTTAGAAAAATGGAGAATTGGGAGCAGCTTAGCAGAGCAATCAAGAAACTCAAGTCAGAGACTGATGGTTCTCAAATTTCCAGGTGATAAAAGTTTTTTTGAATTTGATTTTTAATATAATTTTTTCAGAAATACTATTGACTTTAATAATTTGGGAGTATAAATATTTATATATTTGTATTTATTGTGAATAATTTAGTTTAATGATAGATTTGTTTTTCAGATGATTCAAGAGGAGATTGCAAGGCTGCAGCTTGAGAATGAACAACTAATTGAACGATTCAAGTATGTGACAAATTATTTTGGAATAATATTTTTAATTATAATTTTCAGGTTTTATCAGGGTGATACTCAAATTCTAGAACATTTAAGTTATGAGGATTTAGCTAAACTTGAAGAAGAATTAGCTACTACACTTCATCATATACGAATTCGAAAGGTTAGTATTATATTTATAATTTAAGCTACTCAAATATAATCAAATACAGCATAATATGGACGTGGAGTTTTGTATGAGGCAAAAACAGGTATATTTTTAATTTTTATCTAATAATTTTTTATATTTATAAAATCATATTTAATATTACAGACTGAACATTTCCTCCCTCAGGTAATAATATATTTATATTAACTATTCTAATTTTGATTTTCAGCAAGTTTACCACCTTCCACTTCATGCATCAGGAATAAATTCGTTTTCATCCCATTGGTCAGATAGAGACCCTCAAATTATTAAATTCTTGACGTAAGTATTCATTTTAATTTATGAGAGTTTATAGTAAAATCTGATAGTTTAATTATTATGGCAGTGAAGAAACATCAGTGGAAGGATCATCAACAGATACATTATATTTTGAACAACAGAACAACATACCCTATCAAACTACCCAGCTCAACTTATTTGGAACTCATGGTTTGAGTTTTGACAATGCCAATGGACGTGGACATTGTTACATAGGTGACAATAAGAATCCTATTATCTACATAAGTCCCAATCCAAATACAAATTTGGAGCACTCCATGGAGCAGCCTCAAAATGAGCAACACCAGCGAGAGATAAGCTTGAATTGGAACTTGGCCTCCCATCCTAACAATCAAATGCCTGATTTATATTCATCCTCCCAGGTACTTTTTTCTTCTCAAAATTCTAACTCTTTTTGTTTTGCTTTGAAACATCACAGGGGATGAATGAGGCTGAGGACGAGAGTACAGAGTCTCGTCTAGGAGAAGACGATGAGCCTGAGGACAAAGACGATTTGGACAATGTGTTTCATAGCGATGAATCTTGACTGAAAGAAAGGGAAAGAAATTCAGCAAGTTTGTGATAAATTGAAGTTCTTATTTCTTGTTCGACTTTGGTTTGTTGATAGTAGCCTCGCGGAATGGAACACGTTTGCCGGCTCGAGGATCAAACTTGACGAGCTCGAGCTTCTGTGGCGAATTGCGAGGATTCTTTGTCGAGACGAAGAAGAAACCAGTGTCAGCAGTGGAGATGAGGCGAATTAGCACGCGGCCAGTCTTGGACTTCCCACCCTTTGCCATGGCCACAATGGTACCACGAGAATGGAGCTTCCTCTCCAAAACTCCTATTCCAACAAAGCAAAACTACTCATTCCAATGCGAGCGATGTGATTTTCACCTGGAAACGAATGGGCTCCAAGCTTGTTGCCCAAGAAGCTCGTCGCCATGCTTGAAGAGATGGCCATGGTTGAACCGATAGGGGTTTTGTAAGGCCCAAATGCTTTGATACTCAGAGAATATACCCCAACTCCTGGTTCCACGCATTGGAAGTCCTGTTCTTTTGACATGATCACACCGTGGCATTCTTGTGTTCTTCTCGATTCCTCGAGAAACTTAGTTCATGGTGGCTGGGAGAACTTCTTCTTCCGGCATTCCATACTGGCCCGTGGACACCGTCCTGAGCATCCAGCTGCTGACCCAATTCGTGGATCGGCTGGAGCGGCGATGCAGCAATCGAGCAGCGGAGGAGTCCGTCTACGCCAGGCTGATGCGAGCTTGCGGGATCTCGGGAGCCCTCGAGCAGGGACGCCGAGTCCACGGCCACGTCCAGCGCCACGCTGACGATCGATCGCTTTTCTTCGGCAACAGGCTGGTAAACATGTACAGGCGATGCAGCAGCCTGGACGAGGCGAGAAAGGTCTTCGATCGGATGCGCGAGAGGGATGTTGTTTCGTGGACCGCGATGATCTCAGCATATGCCCAGACCGGGCATCAGCGACAGGCACTCGATCTTTTCACTGAGATGGCGGGCAGCTCTCTCGACCCAAACCGCGTCACCTTTCTCGCTTTGCTCGAAGCCTGCGACTCGCCCGAGTTCCTGGAAGATGGAAAGCAGATCCACGCTCGGGTCTCGGCGCTCCAGCTGCTGGAATCCGACGTTCCGGTGGCAAATGCGGTGATGGGGATGTACAGGAAGTGCGAGAGAGCAGATCTAGCGATGGCAGTATTTAGCGAAATGCGTGAGAGGGATTTGATTTCCTGGAACAACGCTATTGCAGCAAATGCCGAGTCGGGGGATTACACCTTTACGTTGGCGCTGCTCAAGAGCATGCAGCTGGAAGGAATGGCGCCGGACAAGGTGACATTCGTGAGCGCACTCAATGCTTGTATTGGATCGCGCTCGCTAAGCAATGGGCGATTGATCCACGCGCTGGTGCTGGAGCGAGGCATGGAGGGCGATGTAGTGCTGGGCACCGCGCTGGTGACGATGTATGGGCGATGCGGGTGCCTGGAGAGCGCGCGAGAGATCTTCCACCGCATGCCCGAGAGGAACGTCGTGTCGTGGAACGCGATGGTGGCGTCGTGCACGTTAAACGCCCACTTTGCCGAGGCGATCGAGCTCTTCAAGAGGATGGTGGCGGTGGCGATGGTGGAGCCGACACGAGTGAGCTTCATCACCGTCCTCAACGCGGTCACCACCCGGGAGGCGCTGGCGGAGGGGCGGAGGATCCACGAGATGATCCAAGAGCGCCAGCTTCTTTCCCAGATCGAGGTGGCCAACGCGCTAGTGACGATGTATGGCCGGTGTGGCGGCGTTGGAGACGCCGAGAGAGTCTTCTCCGCGATGGAGAGGCGAGACCTCGTGTCCTGGAACGCGATGATCTCGGCCTATGCCCAGTCCGGCCTCGCTTGCGAGGTGGTGAATCTCTTCCATAGAATGCGAGCCGAGCGTGTTCCTCCTGATCGCATCACCTTCCTCATGGCTCTGGACGCCTGCGCCGAGATGGGCGATCTGGATTCCGGAAGAACAGTCCACCACCTTAGCGTCGAGAGTGGATTTGGATCGTGCATCTCCGTCGCGAACGCCACCATGCATCTCTACTCGAGCTGTTCTTCTTCCTCGAGTTCTTCTTCGTCGCTCATGGAGGTGGTGGCCGGGATCTTCGAGAGCATGGCCGCCCGCGACGTGATCTCCTGGAACACGATGATCACTGGATACGTCCAGGCCGGCGATCCATTCTCGGCTCTCTCCATCTTCAAGCGCATGCTCCTCGAGGGGATCCGCGGGAACCAGGTGACTTTCATGTCCCTCCTCAGCGTCTGCGACTCGCGAGCTTTACTCCGGCAGGGAGAGACGATCCACCGCTGCGTCATCGATCAAACGCCGGAGCTCTCCTCGGATCCCATCGTCGCCGCGGCCATCGTCAACATGTATGGCAAATGCGGCGAGCTCGACACTGCTCGCCATCTCTTCGAGGATACGAGCCACCGGAACTTGGCGTCGTGGAACTCGATGATCTCGGCCTACGCTCTCCACGGACGAGCCGAGCAGGCGTTTGATCTTTCGGAGCGGATGCGGAGGGAGGGAGTTCTTCCGGACCGAGTGACTTTCATCACGCTGCTCAATGCCTGCGTCGCCGGAGGAGCTGTCCGCCAGGGAAAGATGATCCACGCCCGGATCATCGACAGTGGACTGGAGAAGGACACGGTGGTGGCAAACGCGCTCGTCAACTTCTACTCCAAGTGTGGGAACTTGGACACCGCCACCTCTCTGTTTGGAGCTCTGGATTACCGCGACGTCGTGTCCTGGAACGGGATCATCGCTGGCTTTGCACACAACGGCCACGCTCGCGAGGCTCTCAAGTCGATGTGGCTGATGCAGCAGGACGGCGTGAGGCCGGACGCCATAACTTTCCTCACCATCCTCTCCGCCAGCAGCCATGCCGGCTTCCTCCGCCAAGGTGGTGACGACTTTGTGTCCATGGCAGTGGATCACGAGCTGGAGCGCGGCGTCGAGCACTACGGCTGCATGATCGACTTGCTGGGACGAGCTGGGAGGATTGGCGAGGCCGAATACTTTGTGAGCGCAATGCGGGACGAGGACAAGGAGGTGTCGTGGATGACTCTGCTGTCGGCATGTGAGGTGCACGGGGACGAGGAGCGGGCCAAAAGAGTTGCCGGGAGCATTGTGGAGATGAATCCGCAGCACTCGAGCGCCTATGTGGCTCTCTCCAACTTGTATGCGACTTGTGGTGACGGGAGCTTTCGCTTCAAGAGGCCCAGGCTCAAGAAAAGCTTGCTTGCTAAGTCGAGTTCTGGATAACTTACTTCGATCTAGGAGTAGACACACAGTGAAAACATGACAAAGGAAATGTAAATTATGATAACAAAGACGCTGACATATGCTCGACATATCCTATATCCTGGAATGAAGAGAAGGATTGTCAGTATGATCTCGAGCAAAAAGATATAGTAGACTTCCTACCTCCTGAGTCAGCTACATGAGAGATGCCACTTTTGGACGTAGACTCTTTGCAAGGTCTTCGAAGCTCCTCGAGAGCTGGATCTCGTCAATGCTCACTTGAAACATGCCGTCGCCAGCAGCAGCCATGTCGGTGAGAAGTTTCTTCGCGGAATTGGTCGGATCGGTCGCAAACATGATGGTGTGAAAGATGAGACTCTGTTCCAGCTTCTTGAGTTGGTTCACGCAGTGCACGGGATCCAAACCTCCATAGTTGTCACCATCGCTCAGAAACACCACTGCCGGACTCTTGCCGGCCACTGCTGGATCACTGACCGAGCGAACTAGAATCTCTTCCACGCGAGCAATCCCGGACGAGTAAACAGTTCCCCCGGCGTCTTCAAAAGTGAGAAGCTTGTCCACCTGAGGCTCGGACATGTGCTCCCGCTCCATCGCGATCTGTCCGTGGTCGTCGAAGAGAACCACTGACATTACGTCTTGAAGGTTGGCGGCTATGCGGGTCCGAATGAAACGAACCATGGCCTCGAAGACGCAGCCGAGACGGTTCTCCGGGAACTTGACCATCTTCGGTTTAATGTCCGGCGATCCCATGGATCCTGATCGATCCACCACAAAAATGACATGGCTGGACACGTCTTGGGAGTGGTTGCACGCAAAGTTGTGTCCGTCTTCAGTCACGTAGCCTGTATAAGAGATTGCTTTGGGAACTGGATCGTGCCACAGCTTCTCAATGCAATACGATTTTCCTGCAGCCTGGAAAGTACTGCTACCTGCAAAGAAAAAAAAAAATAGAGTCATGCAAACTAAGAGCTTCCAAACGTAGATTACCTGAGCTGCTACCGCTGCCGTTGTGTTCGGTAGATTGGCAGCAGTGGCCGCAGAGAGCAAACTGCCTCTGGTCGTCTTCCGAGCAGGGATCCTTAAACTTCATGTTCTTCCAGTACGTTGCATGAGTGAGCTCGTCTTTTGGAGTGTCGAAGTCTGGACCATATCTCACAGTCGCGTGACGAGCTCCTTCCAAAAATTTCACATTGCCGCAGACACCGTCGTCCTTCTGGTCCTTCTGGCAAACAGCCAGGTGGATATGTCCACGGCCTCTAGCTTTGCAGTGCATCATGCACATCTCAGCCGCACCAGACTCTCCCCACTCGTACTTCCGCCCCTCGATCTCGACTTCCTCACTTTCGGCTACGAAAGTTTGCTGCGTCATGTTGCCGTGAGTTGTATCGTGAGGTCCTGGATGATCGATTGGCAAGTGGCAAAAGTAGCCACACCCCTGGCATTTCGACTCGCAGAAGTGGACGGCATCCGGATTGACGGTGTGCAAATGCTGGCCTGGATGCTCCAGCTCAAAAGGTGGTATCGGAATGCAGCACAGCTTCTTCTTCCCATTCTGCTCCGAGACGTAGTCGTACTCAAAGGTCGAACGCTTTCCCTGGAATGTGCGAGTTTTCTTTAGAACTTCAGTGAGAACCACGCAGTTACCCTTGCATTCACAGTCGCTCGGACACTGGTGCTCGTTCCCGCAGAGATGGACTCTAGCTTTGAGCGAGTGGAAGTGGTCCTCCATAGCACATTTCCTGTTGCACCCGTCCATGGTACACTGGCTGACGCACATCTTCTCGTGGCAGGTATGAGTGTGGTCGATCACCGCCAGAGGATGAACGCAGGTATTTCTACACCCCGGAAGCGAGCAGTCCTCCTTGCACATATGCTGCTTCGAGTTGCAAGTGTGGTCGCCATGGTGTGCGATTTTGAGAGTGCAAGCCTTGTTGCAGTTGGACGACTTCTCCCAGAGGTGGCACGTCTCTCCACAGGTGTGGCTCTTGAGCTTGCAGTCGTGCAGACCTTCGTGACCAGCCTTGTCCACGCAGCGCTCCATACTCGAAGCCTCCTCCTTGCAAAACGAGCAGTACTGCTTGCAGCGATGGCTACCTTTGCAGCTGTGATGACCCGGATGTGCCTTCTCCAAGATGCAACGAAGAAAGCACTGCCCACACTTGCAGCTACACAGCGCCAGTTTGTCTTTCACATCCGCCACTGCCGCTGTAACTTCCAGAAGCAGCTTCTGGACATCACCGTCCGATGAGAAGTCACGGGTGTTGGCTTTGATCCAGTTAGCCACTCGAGTCTTGCGTCTCTCTGCTAGAGATCCCAGGAAATTCTCCAAGGACGCGTGCCATTCTTCGTCGCTACATAGACTCTCTTCACGGGGCACCACCTTCTCAAACTCCGGTATCAGCTTCTCCAAAACTGTGTTGGCGACGTCCATTTCTTCGTATCCTGCAAGCTGAAGACGTGTGTCGAGAACGTCGAACGTGTGACCACTCACGAGAATTGGCTCGTCTTCAAACTTGTCCTCCGAATCAAAGTCGACCAGCTCTCTTTTCTCGTCGCCTGCGAGACATCCCAGAGCTATGGCTGTCCTCAAGTGCTTCCTCAGCATACTGACTTTGAAGCCGATCCTTTTGGTGTCGATAGGAGACCAGTCCTTGGAACAGATCTGTGCTATCACCAGCTTCAAATCTCTCAGGAAACTCTTCCCAGTCTGGTGCACCGCATCAAGCCCTTCGACAGTCGCAGCGATCTGCGATATGCTCTCGTGGAATTCCTTCCGGTTGAAAGGTGGCATGGCTGAAATCTCCACAAGACCCCCGTACATTCTCGTCAGGAAGTTGTCTTTGGACTTGTTGCAAATGTAGAGGATCTTCGAGTAGAACTCTTCGCGAAGATCGTCAACATCAGCTGCATCTACGTCTTTGATGGCCATGTAAAACAGTCCTTTGAAGAGCTTGTCATCGTCTTTCACCAAGCTCACACCGTTTTGGAACCGTTCGAACACGGCCTCCGTTTCCTTGTCAAGGTGGAAATCCTGGACAAGAAAAACCAACATTTTAGTAACATTGCATTAGCAAACAAATGCAAACTGACCTTCTTGTTGAACAAAGTTATGTTGCTGATGGCAGCGTTCAGGATGGCCAGGAACATATCCTCCTGCTCACTTCGCTCGAAGCTTCCAAGTCCTTCAAAATCCAGAATAATAAACATGCAGTCCTCACTGGCCCGGCAAGTCATCCACACGCCATCCGTGCAGCGTCCACCGGCAACGTCAAGGACCGAGCCACTCAGGTGATTCAAGAGGTACGACTTTCCACTGCTCTGCTTCCCCATCGACGAGATAACTTTCACAGGCCCCGTCCAGCTTTCGAGAAGAGCATCGTAGACGCTGAACTGAATGATGCCTGCAAGCTGGATAGCGTCTCCATAGCTCACGTCTGCTGCCATCTCCAGTCCATCGATCAGAGGCCTCAAGTTGTTGTTTTGAGCTCGAGCGATCTGCACCGGAACGAGGGACATCAGCTGACGCAGAAACTCGCTCATGTTCCTGTCCTCTGGCTGCACCAGCATTCCTGAGTCGCTGAAGAACTGCAGATCGAAGAGGATCCTCAGGCCCGAGAAATCCTTGCCCTTGTCCTTCTCCAGCTGCTGGACGATTCTTTCCGCATGGCTGGTGAGCTTTCTTCTCGCTACCATCGGGTCGCCTCTCAAGACGTCTACCACCAAAGAAAACCGGAGAATCCTCGAAGAATTAATGAGCGGAGGACTCACTGCATACTTGTCGAAGACATGGTAGATGTAGTCGAGCTCGTGACACATCGATTCCTCACTTTCTGCTGGTGCCACTTCTGCCTTGGTAAAAGAGTCCCTGACGAGCTGACAGCTTTGGGAGGACACCGTTACTTTCAGACGCAGCGACCGCACCACATTCATATCCTCTCCATCACTGATTAGCATCTGCATCTGCGTCCCAAAATTCGCCACCGCAAGCTGGAAGTTACTCCCATTCTTGACTGCTACTCCCAAGTCCACTGCTTTCATGCGTTCCAAACTGTCGTCGAGTCTGTAAACTTCAGCTGAAAGTGCCGCTCCAACTTCCGACGGGTCACCACACACTGCGACCAGGCAGAGGCCATCCGGTGTCAAGCAAGGCCTCAGGAACGAAGTTGGAAGCTGGATGACTCGCGGCTTCATCATTCCTGGTTGTACCGCTTCAAAAACCCGGACACAGAAGTCCTCGTCCGCCACTAAGAGCTCCTCTCTGCCGGGTATGAACTCCATCCAGGTGATGTTCCTGCTGCCACCGTAGTTGCTAAGTAGAATCGTGACCCCGTTCCACATCAGCTCGCGGAACGACTCGTCAAACCGGTATACTTTGATCATTGCTCCCGAGACGTCGTATAGAGCGATGAACCTCAAGACCTCGTCATAAGCAACAAGATCCGCGCCCCTGCTGAAAGTCTTGACGTGCATCTTTGGGCTTGGAACGTTCAAGTGTGCTCCCAAACTCGGGCATAAGTATATGCTCAGCTGCGAGTTCTGGAGTCCTCTGACGAAAACGAGCACCTGTCCAGACTTCAGGAAGACGACTTTAGACAGTCCAAACTCGCTAGCTTCCAAGTCCACCACGTCACACGTTTGAGAGCACTTGAGGGTGATAAAGTGCTCGCGGTTTTGCATCTGAACTTCCAGATCTTTCTTCGTAGGCAGCAACTCGACAGCTTTCCAGGAGACACGCTCATTCTGAGTGACTTCTCTTCTGAAACGAATCTGGACCCGGTCGCTGTAAGCCTCTGAAACGCAAGTGTCCAACAAGACTTTCGGACGTGTGTCGTTGGGATCCCACAGTTTCGCTCGAAACTCTGCTACGCATTCGGACTTCTTGGACTTGATAGCTTGCTTGAGCTGCGCCCGTTTCTCCGTCAACTCAGAAGTGGCCGTTGACTTCAAAAAGCCAAAGAGAACTTCCTCGGAGCTTTCAAAGATACTGCTGAAGAACTTCATCCGACCAGTTCTGTAGACCTCAGCACACCAAGGAAGTATCTTGTCTTCTGCCTCCAAAACAAATGGT